CCCCACCAATATATGGACCCCCCCCCCCCCCCCCTCCCCCAGTTCTAGTAGTGGCTGCTCTTACCAGCACCACTAGCATGGGAGGGGGGGTGTTTTTGTTTAAAAAAAATAAAAAATAAAAAAATCACACTACAACGTTTGATTTAGCCATTCAATTTGGGTATGGTCTCCTGTAACATGTCAGAGCACCTCACCCTAACGAGGACAATGGAGCTGTAGCTGCTGCTTTTGCTTGTTTCCTTCTTTGGGGAGCGGCAGCTGTGCTGTGCATCCTGTGTGGCATAATGCAATGAACTTGCAGTTTCTCAACGGGCTGCATCTTGTAACAGGGTCATTTTTGTAATTTTTCTAAGTTCTGGGGTCCAACCAGCAACTGAAACAGGCCTAGTCCGACAGGGACATTTCTGCAAATTCCCTAAAAAGTGGTACTACGGGTGCTAAACCCCGTCCAGGCCTAAGCTGTCCCTCCGCTACTGCAAGGGACTGGTGACTCTTCGCTACTGCAAGGGACTGGTCACTCTTCGCTACTGCAAGGGACTGGTGACTCTTCGCTGCTGCCTGGGACTGGTACCGCCGTTGCTGGAAAACATAGGCCCGTAGTATTAGTTGTGTCCTAGGTCCTAGGAGTCCGGTCCAGTAGGTTTGTCTAGAACTATAAATAGAGCCACTTTGTAGAGGTAGGGTTCTTTGACCTGTTGGTCTGCAGTTGGTAGAACGCTGCTGGAGATCATGTTGACGCCGCGAGGCTGGTGGAGCAGCGCCATAGCCGGAGACGATTGCTGGGCTACTGAAGCAGCGCTGACGGACGCGCTTCAGGCGCTGGACCTGGGGACTCCATATCTGTGCTGTTGGGGTTAGGCACTGCCATATCTTCTTCTTCTTGGAAGCTGTATTCTTCTTCTTCAAGCTGGAGGTTCCTTCTTCATCCAGGAGCTGGCTGCTTTTCTCGACTGATGCAGCGACAGTTGAGTGGATTCTGAGAGGCACTGGTGCAGATAAGGGTGCAGATAAGGGTGCAGTTGAGTGGATTCTGAGAGGCACTGGTGCAGATAAGGGTACAGATAAGGGGGCAGATAAGGGGGCAGATAAGGGTACAGATAAGGGTGCAGATAAGGGTGCAGATAAGGGTGCAGAGAGGGGGTGCTGGTGCTCTGCAGGCTCTGGGAGCTGGGCGCTGGGTTTCTGAATGAGCGCCATGGCCAAGAGTTGAACGGAGGTAGTTTGAGGAAGGAGGAAGGAGGAAGCCTCCAGAAGGCTTGAAGAAGCCTAGTTTGAGTTTGTTCGAGGTTGTTAACACCCGGTTGAGATTCTTGGGATCTTTATGCAGCTGATTGGGTTGCAGGGAGAAGAGGGACTGTGAATTGAGTTTCTATTCAATTCTATTTGAATTTTGTGCTTCCGCTGTGCATCTTCAGTCTGGTTTGGTGCGGATTTTCCTATCCGAGTCTTCTTTGTCATCTCACGCGTGTATGGGAACATGCTGATCCTCTGTTGGATGGAATTTCAATCAGTCACATAACATATATGTCCAGACATCCAACCAGACACCAGAGGCCAGCAAGCTGACACCAGGGGAGAAAATTTTGGGAAATCGATCGACCAACCTCGCGTTCGTGCGTTGCATACTGCGGAACCAATCAACAACAGAGTTCGCTTGCTGCAAGATCCATTGCAGCAAATCAAACCAGCTTTTTTTGCAGACATTCAACCAACCTTGCATGAAAAAACAAACAAACCTCTTAGCACAGAGCAAAAAAAAAAAAAAGGGAGGGAAATTTGCAATTCGCTCCTATAATTTGCAATGATTTCTGCACTGCCTCTGTAATTCTAATATTTGCGGCATGCCCTTCTGATGTTGATTCAAAATTCAAATCCATGAAAACATCTGGGCCTGAGATCCTTTCCCCATGTGCATATCACTGGTGATACTTTTTTTCAAATTCAATTATTGATTGAATTTGATTTATATCGTCACATATAATATATATTGTCACATAACTACAAACTAAAAGAGCGCACTTTGCGGAACAAAGAATAAAAGCAAAAAACGGGCACAGTGATAACATGCAAA